TCGAAACGTTATTGACATTCATAAACTCTTAAAAATTGTATTTTAATGCTCCCGGTGGGCAGTCGAAAATATCGATTCGGAACGTAACATGTCGTAACGGTAGTTCGATTCTCGTTAAATAAATCCTTACACATGCGGTTAACCTTTCGAGAAAACTCCATATCATTTTAAAGAAGCATACGTACAAAGGGAGGGAGCGATAAATCGAAATTACATTTTTCCTTTTGGGCCGTTATTGTGCGCCCACCTCTCCCGTATACGCTCGACTGATCGCCTAACCTTTGAACTTTACTTTATCTACGCAGACCTGTAATTATCCGATAATTATTAACATCATTTGATCAAAAAATCACTTCTCTACGTCCGGTAAATAATTTCCCTTTGATACATTCTTTTTACGAATCCGATTTCAATGATATTGAATAGCGTTTTATAGTCGAATTTTGCTGTTTATTCGTTATATAATTAGTAAAATAAAGCTAATGATTATTTTAATTACAAATTTCACCAACATTTTCTCTTGTTGATTTTCAAAATGTTAAGTATAGTAAATTAACCGAATTAATATTTATTTTAATAAACAAGCATTTATGTCAACATGAAAAAAATGAAGTGTTTTGAATTAAATTGGAAAATATATAGGAATTGAATGAAAGTTGAGTAGTGGTGCAGAATGGAGTAAAATGAGTGGAACAGAATCGAGCAGAATGGAGCCGAGTAAAACAATGTAGAATAAAACATAAAGAACAGTTCAAGATTATTTTTGGAATAAAACTTTATGAGGGATTCCTCATGTTGGATTTTGGACACATCGTATCATTCACCGAGATCTAATATTCTGATCGATTTCCTGTAATTTCCCTTTTCGTCCGAAACGGCCTTGAATCGACAACCAGCGTTTCGTATTTTTAGGCATTCCTGATGCATATTTAATGGCTCTAATGATAAGTTGTTTATATTCGGTTATGCTCGAAAATAACCAATGTTTTTAACGATTTCTTTTATCTAATAATCAACCACAAAGTCCTAAAAATATACATTATATTCCACTCTATTTGGTTCTACTCTACTCTATTCTACTCCATTCTGCTCAATTAAGCTCCACTCTACTGCACTTCCAGTTTGAATTTCCATTCAATCCCATTTAATCCCATTTTACAATTTAGTCGAAAACTCTTCATATTTTCCATTTTAATATTATCAAACAAATTTTCTCGAATTTGAATCGAGGAAAACTCGATTAAAATCCTAAAATAAACCATAAACCCCTACGAAATAATTAACGACTAATTTATATTTATACACGACGATTTCCACGTGCCCTACGAACTAATTTAAATTAATACGACTTTTTCGGAAAATTATTATTTCTGACGCAGGTATATTTTATCGAGCTTAACAATTCATTACGTACGCCGTAAATATTTCATCAAACAAACACTCGACATGATCGGGGACTGCTCCTCCGGTACACGATATACATATACACCGGCTCTCGTCGAAATCCGATCGATTTTTCCGGCGTTTTTCCGCGTACGTGCGGTGACGCCGCGACGCCGGTACGCCATTCACCGGGACCCGGCTGACGCAACTCGTGAATGAACGTTTACACAACAGGTCCTTCCTATCTCTATCGCACACTTAAGAGATTTCGTAACTGACGTAATTTCGCGCGTAATTATCCCGTTTTATCGGATATGCACGTATGTTTGTACTACAAAAAAAGTTTGTTAATTTGCCGAAATTTGTTCGTTTTATGACTTTGCAATTTTCCTGCGAAATCGCACATCAGAGTAGGGCGAAATTACAGATTAGATTAAAGCAGCAATAAACGGAGTAGCATGTTACTTTTGCAACAAGTTTTTAGGTCGATTAATTTATTATCGTAGATGAATCTGTAGAGGCGGTTTGCCCGGTCAAAATGCCGGTAGACGGGTCGCAATGGGGAATGCATTTGGACGTGCCCTCGCCCTCGCCCTCTGCGGCCCCGTTTTCTATGTACATAATGCGGTGACGTAAATTCATTCATGGAAAGGCCTCCCCTACTAGCGCTCGGGCGACGCACCCCGGTCGATACGGGCGGCCCTCTTGAATGTCGAGTTCACGGCACATCTGCAAGGATATAACGCCGGACTATTTCTGGAGCGGCGCGAACCCGACGCCCGCTCGATTTCCTCTATACCGGTCTGATTGAATATTTCTCGGAAAACTTCGCCCTGTTTTTTCATTCATTTATAGAGATGTTTTAAGAGGGTCAGTTAAGAGAGAGATTACTTCGAGTAGAAAGAACGGTTGGATGAGTAAAGTTGAATATAGTTGGGTAGAATAGAGCAGAGTGGAGTAAAATGGAGTAGTGTTTAATAGAGGCAGATTAAAGTGTAGTAATGGAAGAGAATAGAGTGATCTTGAGTAGATTGGTGTAGAATGTTGCAGAATGGAATATAGAATAAAATAGAGGCTGAATCGAGTGCAGAAAAATGTAGTAAACTTGAGCAGATTGGAGCAGAATGGATACAATACAGGGTGTTAATTAATAAGTGCGGCAAACTTCAGGGGGTGATTCTGCTTGAAAAAATAATGATATTTTGCTATATAAACATATGTTGCAAATAGTTCGAGATACATTAAAGTTTCTTCTTAAAAACCGAAGATTTACTTATTTCTCTGAAACCAGACGTGATATTTAAATGACATTTGGTGGAATTTGAGAGGTAATTATTACGCATTTTTGATATAAAATTAAAAATTTTATGTTCATCATTGACGCGCGTACGGGTAATAATAAAACTTTTTTAAAGAGAAAAAATAATATTGGTACGCCATTGAGGCATTTTTATTGAAAATTTAATTCTGAATGAATTCCCCGTTCAAATTGTGACAAAAAAACTCTCTTGTGTTTTTTTCGTACATGACGCTGTTTTCGAGTAAAAAAATATAACATCTTGAAGTGTATTGCAACACTTTATCTGAAGAAACACCCCGCATCTCGAAAACGAAGCAATTGCGGACATATGTTTATATAGCAAACTATGCAAACTTTTTCATGCAGAATCACCTCCTGAAGTTTGTACCACTTATTAAATAACACCCTGTAGAATCGACCACCGTACGCGCCGGATTCGGTATCTATTGATAGCCAGTCGAACTATATCGAACAAGTGATGTGTCCCGCAGGAATGCCGGGCATTCGATTCGTGTGATTTTCGCGGGGCTGAGTGGCCCGGTGTATTTTCGGAATTACATAATTCCCTTTTCGTTTTGTCTCTGTTCTCGGTTCTCGGACGTCATTACTGGATCACGGCTGAGTCAGGTTCCCGTATAGTCCTGGCCCAGCTGATCACTGATGTGTGTTTGTGTGTGTGTACGCGTGTATTTTTGACTGTGATGTTTTTATTTTCGTAAAAGCGCTAACAGATGTTTTTCTAATAGTGAAGTTATTTTCCCTGGTGTATACGTGCGCGTTACGTGGTCGCTATATTTAAAAGAAAATGCGTTTCTTTTTGTTCTTTAATCGACTGGAATTAGGTGAAAATTTAGCAAAATAATGTTGATATTTTTGTACAGTATAAATCAATTTTATTCCGTCTTACTTGGACGAATAATACAAACATTTTATCGCTATTTCATTTTGTTATATCAACCGACCGTGGCGGTATTATAAAAAAAATCGTATATTCCAATCAAGATCGGAAAATAATAATTTATGCACTTTCGTTCGGATTTTCGTTATTAAATATTAACTTTTCAAATAGAACAATACCAACAATTATAAATACATATTGTTTTTAAATGAAAAAACATTTAAATATGGCTTTTTTATCTGCTACAATAAAAACGGAAGCGATAAGTTACATGATCCGATTTAGTTATTTTTTTTATTCGCACGCGCTGTAGTTAACTCAATTGAATACTCAACGAGAGGATTAAAATTTTAACTGAATACTCCGAAGACGACTCAATTTGTGCCCGATGCGTTTCACCTAAATCGAGGAACCTGGAACAACTCTATTTATTTTATTACCACCATGGAAATAAGTTTATTGCTAAGGTAAAAATAACATTCATTAACTACATATTAAGGATATTTTAGATCCTAGTACATACACATCACATCCAATTCGATAAAAATTATTTTGAAAATTTTGTGTGTTTATAAATACTGTAAGTGTTCGATAATTATTATATATAAAAGATATTTGATTTGTTTAGGTATTTTTAAGAATACGATATCATATTGAATTGCACATATTCTGATTCGTGGCGATTTTTGAGAGTAAATGAATCAATTAATAAGTGCATTGTAAAATTATATTAATTTGATTTTGATATAATATGTAGATTGGACAATCTATATAAACTAATGATAAGAGTTGGAGTATAATTAAGGCATTATACAATTTTTATCGATAAATAAACGGTACTTGATTGTTATTAAAACGGAGAGAAACCATTTCGATCGAGTTTAAAAAAAAATATTACTAAAGTATGTAAGTATTATATTTTCGAATAAAATCAACATACAAGTTAATTTATATAAAGTTTAAGAAACATTTCGATGCAGCTGTACGATTCGACAGTAAATTTCAATTAAGAAACGTCATTCGAACGACAATTCCACCTATCCATCTGTTCGGAAAATCGCCGATAGCGCCGCACCGACGGCACCTACGATCATTTCGGCCGGTTTAGTGAACCCTTCCCGTAAAAACACAACCTGTGGCGGCCGGTCCGGGCGCCGCAAGCCGCGCGGCGCTCCGCAAAACGCCAACAAACCCCCCGATCAAACGGAAAAAATACCGCGCGCTCCCCGTATCGCGGGCTAAGCGCCAGCGATTACGTCACGGCCGACGTCACGCGGTGGGGAGGCGACGGTGGAGGGGCGAGCACACTGCCTCTCGCCGCTATTGGCCAACCCCTTACTTACGACTTCCTAATATGGAACAGTGACTTCATTCATAAAACTAAAACCCGTCGCCTCGGCCGACCAGTTTCCGAGATCAGTTCGGTGTGGGTAGGTGTGCGCGATCTGTTACAACTTCCACACTCCATATTATAGTTTTGTTTTTCTTTGAATACACATATACACGCACACGACAAAAAAATAATTCCTCGTGCAGTGCGCGACGTCACGCTCCGTTACCCAGTGCCCTGTGGTGGCGTAAAACCCTAATCCAAAAAAACCGTGGCAAAATGATCATGGACACTTTGGACACGCTGCCTAATCAGCACCACCACCATCACCATCACCATCACCATCACACATCGGCGTTTTTGTTGACGGAAAGCGCGGCCGCCGCCGCCGCCGGCGCCCATCACTTCAACGTGCTCAGCTTCGATACGTGCCTGTACAAGACGGGGACGAGCAGCAACAGCGGCGGCAGCCCCACACCCGGCTCGATTTGCTCGCCCTGCGAGGACCCGTCGCCATCGGAGGCGCAGCCGGGCGACCTCAACACCCCGGTGACCACGTCCAGCGACGCCCCTTCCTTCTTCGGCCCCAGCACCGTCGTGGAACCGCCGCCCATTACAGGTTAGTTGGTCGCCACCGGAACCGCTGGGAACCCTTCTAGATCGCGTTGTAACGATCGCGATTCGTCGGGGTTTGGCGATGGCCCATCGTGGGGTTGTTATTTTTGGGGAAAATCGCGCTTCGATGTAACAGGTGCAGATGGTTCGGCTGCGAGCTAAAATTATAATCGGCGCAAAGCCGAGTGTATGCAAGACGAAAATAACTTTCCGGCGTACGGTGTTATGTCTAAGTGTAAATCGCAGAAACACCAGAATATTGTGTTACGGAATGTATTGAAAATATTCCGAGCGCGACCGTTTTATTAGGCGGTTTTCCAGATACACTGCTCAGAATATTCAGAGGTAGATTGCTGGATTTTCATTCATTTACTACTCCTTTATCCTTCCTCTCCTGCAAAACTTCTAATTTTTATAGTGTTAACTAATTATAGAGCTTTTCTGTTTCTCAATTTTTTCATCTTAAGAATTCACCTATATTATTATTTTTATTTTGAACAAATTTTATAACGGTGATATAAGAAATTGTTAACTCAATTAACCTGAGCAGTGTACTAGTCGATATTTTTTACGGGACGGTAAACTATACCTTCATGATTACTTTTATGGGTCATTAACAACATCTATTATTTTGTAAACTCAATAAAAAGCCGTTTTAATAGTTTTCATTTTGAGGCGTTTTGTCTGGTAATATTCATAAAGTTTATTTTTTCTCGTTATTACCGATATTACCTGCAAATTCGGATTTGTGATTCGTGACATTAGTCGATATTTATTTATGTTTCCAACGTCAATATTTAATTACTCGCCATTCTTTTGTGAACCTTTCGTATTCCAATGAGACATTGTTTTATTATCTTATTTATTTGAATTTTAATATCGATTGTAATCGCTGAAAATATTAACAATTTAAATTGATTGAAAATTTAACACTAAAACGCGCTCCGAATTCGACTCGAACATGTGTTAAATAAATTCGAATTTTATTTTCGAAAGAAAATAATAATAAATTTGTCACCGCATCAGTCGATATTTCTAACATCACCGATACATTTCAACTCTCCCGATAATTCTCCAAACGAAAAACAAACCAATAACTTACGGAATCGATTAAACCTAATTAAACCAGCCCTTTTATACTAAACTATTCGATTTATCGCAACAAGTGTCCGTACATCACGTAGACCTTCTAAAAAGTCACTATCGATTTCCGAGCGCCGTCGCATTAAACGGAATCGATAATGCGGCAAACCATTCATCCGAGTCGGGGGGTTTCATTCAAGAAATTTTACTAGGACGCGGGGCGGCCCGGTGTCATGGTTGTATGACGGTCATATCGGAATGTCAAGTGCACGGTTCGTTGTCTGGCCCAATCGATATTGCACCGGCGGGCCTTAAAGAGGATGGATTTGATTCCATCCAACTAATAAATTTCTTCTATAAAACAACATGAAGATAAACACGAAGTATTTTTCTTAGTGTACAGTTGCTACACTAGAAAAAAGAGTTTGTTGTCCATTCGCTCGTTTTAATGAAGATAAATATTCGTTTTGAGTAAAATTTAGCAATGTATTAATGAAGTTCTTTGATGTTAATTAGTTTTCTTACCTATATTGTATAGGTGAAAGAATTATTGCTACTGTTATTCGCGTTTGTTGCTGTCAATGTTTATGAACAATTAAATTTTAATTACTTTAGTTAGTAAAATAAAATGGCTTTTGGATTATCTAAGACACGTTATGTATAATACTTACAGCTTCTTTATGGTTATAATATGAAATAAAAATATTTACAAGCGTTCGCTACATAATGTTCTTTTTGTTTGTGTTTGATCATCGATTGTATTGTATTTTGCAGGCTCAAATGATTGAAAGATTTCTATTTTGTCCCATTTAACTCGAACGTCTGCAGGTTTGTTAATTTCCTGCAAAAAAACCTACCGTTATTTACTTTACTAGAGGAGAATAAAAAAACTATCGAATTTAAATATTTCATTCATTCGAAGATATTGAATTAAATCCAAAAAGTAGGTTAGAATAATAATAATATTTAAATTCTTCGAAGAAACGCGAAACGAGCCGCTTTATCTTGCAAGTATCAAATCACAATAAAAATCCATTCATGAATCGCAAATAAGATATGAATGAAAAGATCAGCGCCAACTCAGCCTGTCTAAGTTACTAAAACGGTAACATTTCTTTCATTGTTTACAGGCTCCTTAGACCCGGAAGAGCTGTCGATCGAACAACAACAACAACAACAACAACAGCAGCAGCAGCAGCAGCAACAACACACGGCCAGTCCTCACCACTCGCCCAGCAGCCATATCACAGAAAGAAACACCCCGCAAGAATCGGCGTTATCGCCGAGCCTGAGAGAAGAAGAGAACACTAACCACAGCTCGCTCAGCATGTACCCGCACACGAGCAACAACAACATGGCCAAGATGCAGCACAGAAACGTGGTGTTCACCTCGTCGGGCAGCCCCAGCATCCAGATGCAAGGCGGCAGCCCGCTGGGCATGGGCGCCCAACCGATGGCCCATTCCCCGTCCGCCGTCAACCAATGGCTGCTGTCGTCGGGCGACAAGCCCATGTACCCGTCGATGTTCAGCCTGCTGCAGGGACCGGGCCAGAGTCCCCAGCAACAGTACCCATCGGCCACGCCGAGTCCGGCCGGCACCCAATACGACGACAGATCGCAAACCGAGCAACTGATGCTCAGCATGGACTGCACCAGCAACTTGCCTCTGAAGCAGCCGCCTTCGTACCCAAGCTGCACCGGCGCCGGCACGAATCTGATGGACATGCAGAACGATCTGGTGTATACGAGAGTGAGCCAGCCGATGGGCTCGGCAAAATACCAATGGGACAGCCAAGATTACGGTTCCGCGCAAAACTCTAGTGCGTTAGTGATACCCGGTCCGTCGTCGCTCGTACCCAAACAGGAACCGTTCAGTGGACCGTGCGGTGATCTCGGCCAAAGTTCGGTGGCCGGTTACAGTGTGCAATTGGCCGAGTACAATCCGTCGACGAGCAAAGGGCACGAGATCCTCAGCCAGGTGTACCAGCAGAGCCCCGTGCCGCTGAAGCTGGTGCCGGTGAAGCCGAGGAAGTACCCGAACCGGCCCAGCAAGACGCCGGTGCACGAGCGGCCGTACGCGTGCCCCGTCGAAAACTGTGATAGGAGGTTCTCGCGCTCCGACGAGTTGACCAGGCACATTCGGATACACACGGGACAGAAGCCGTTTCAGTGCAGGATTTGCATGAGGAGCTTCTCGAGGTCCGATCATCTCACGACGCACATTCGGACGCACACCGGCGAGAAACCCTTCTCCTGCGACATTTGCGGGAGGAAGTTCGCCAGAAGCGACGAGAAGAAACGACATGCTAAGGTAATTCATTATTCCTCATCTATAACAATCTCGATTTTATTGCCCACATTTATACAAAATATACTTTATGAGGACTACAAGTGTGTTTACATATACCGCTTTGTGGTTTATTGGTAAACACAACTTAGATTATTATAGGTCAGGTTTAGTTTGCTTTATCAAATTCAATGAATAACAAATTGTTCATGTAGGTAGTGTTTATAACACAATGCGTTTAGATTATAAAGAGACGTTTCTGATACTATAAGTTGGTGTACGGTACGTCACCCGGGGATATAAAAATAATTAATTGAAGAAAAGGATTGTCGTCGCCTATTTTTTCCATTATCTCGTATCGTTTATGTTCTACGATATGAGGTGGAATAATATTAGATCCGATCTAGGTGTTCAATGGATATTGAATAATAGAATGTGGGTTGTGCAATGTTCTGTTAGACGTCGAATAACACGTTCGAGCTTGTGTAAGTTTTCTGAACCCATATTTATAGAATAGGTTAGCGAAATTAATCCGTTAGAAATTGGACAATCTTCTTGAAGTAGTCGGTATTTTTTCGCATTAAGCGTTTTCTCTCTAGTTTGATATTTAATGATGATTATGAAACAATCACTTGTTAGTTTACATTTCTCTGGTTGTAATAATTGAATTTTCTTATCCGTTTCTGAAGCTCATTCTCCGTGTATTGTGGCACTTATCTACCTGATTTAATCGTGAATACTAAATCGAGCCCATAACTTTCAGAATGTAGATGTATAGATCAGAAATTGGAACTATCAGAATATTTCCTTGTGTGTGCTCAAACTGATGAAAATTTTGTAGCCAATTACTGATGTATTTTTGATCTTCTATAGTAAATGTTTAACAATTTCACGTACGATAATTAATCACTGGAACCTTTTTCTCGGAGCCCGTCGATTTTATAGCGATTTCTAAGAAACGTCCGCGAGCCAAACCAGTTTCGATTTAGCGAAACAATTTCATGAAAATGTTCTACGCGCATATTCATATGAGCGACGCTTGAAGAAATACCCGTCGAATATCTTTATTAACGCCGTTTCAACGTTCAATCGCGTAAATTATACGATTCCAAGCGCCATAAATTATCGATTTTATGTCTCTAGGGATTTTCGAAAAATCGATTTCAATTCGAACATGTAAAATCGCTCAACCAAAACATTGGAATCGTAGGTACTGTTTGCTTACTAAATTCATTAGCGTTAAAATGTGTTGATTGAGTTTCTTAAATAACACTTTAATGTCGTTGAATTCGTAAAAATGTTGCGGATGTTGAAACATCGTTATTGTATCTAAAGTAATCTAATAATAGATAAATTAATTATACATTGTCTTTTCTACTAAATAGTTCTATTAACTTGTGTATGAATGGGCAATAAAATTAAATAACCGGAGCATACTGGTACCTATATAACAGGACTTTTCTTTGCTTCTTCCTCGTAGTTTATGACCTTTTTGCCAGTATACTATTGGTTGTAAAACGCCTTTTATGTAGCAAAACAATCATCTAAACAAGGACCATTTCATTACAGGTCCACCTGAAGCAGCGCATGAAGAAAGAGAGCAAGTTGAACAACAGCAACGCCAGCTCGTCGCAGCAATCGTCTTCGCAGCAGGCCGGATCGCAGCAACACCACCAGCACCACCACCACCATCCGCACCAACAGGTGGGTTCGATGCACGTGCACCAGAGCCACACGGTGACGAGCGAGGAGGCGATGAGCATGTCCCCGGTGGTGACGACGACGCTCTGAGAGGTCGCCACCGGGTTGGAGCCCGGCGAGTGCATACTACTCATCCCGGACGACGAGTGCGACGAGGATGGCGATCGAGCGCGGATCATTTTGGTCCAGATCGATTGAGGCGGGAATCGATGGGTACTTAAGCGGTGATGGCGTCGATCCTGGACGAAAATTGTTTCGATGATGCACTGAAGATACCTGATTTTTTGATCTCTGTGAGGCCTATTATATAGAGCCCTAGTTCGTCGTTAAGTCTGTGCCATTTTTCTCGCGAGGTAGGTACAGGATGTTTTTAACATTGCGACAATTCGATTTTTTCAGTCTAAAATTACGGCAGATTTTCAGTAAAATTATGTTATCAACTGGTTCCCGTGCGTGATTCAGTTTTATGAATTGCTAAAAAGTTTGTTTTTTCAATGATTCTTTTAAGTCCCAGTATTCCTGTACTACCGCAGACTGAAAAAAAGTCGCTTTGAAGCGACAGGTTGTTAGAAAATTGATGTCTTATTTTTGTACATTTGAAAAATGGTTGTTGATAATGTATATTTTATTTTTAGTAGTGTTCTAAACACGATATATAGATTTTTTTAACAATCTTAGAAAGAGTAACAAAAGCTTTAATTAATATTGTAGGTTTAAAATCGTTTTTGTTTTTTTTTTAAATATTTGCCAAATAACAAATTGTCAAAATACATTACATTCCGTACTATTTTTTTATTGGTTTTTAAGTAGTTAAAAAGTATTTATTTTTTTTCGTTAGCTCCTAAGAGAAACACTAAAAATCGAGTAAGCCATTAATAATACTTTTTACACAAAATAAATCACATTTTGTTCCTGTAGCATGGAAAATTACATGTCATTTATTGTGGTGTGAATTTCGAAAAAAAAATCTTCGTCAAATATACAACGATTTTGTCTGGAATTCTACATTATCTAGCACTTTCAATTCTGAAATTTCACTACTTTCATCCTTCAAAAAATATTATAATTTCGACATTCAATCTTACTATTCTTTACGAAAAATATCTTCTTCTCCAAAATTTTAATCTCATTTCACCACTTACCATCTTGTATATTTGGATATTGTCAAGTTTGCCTTAAGAAGTGTCTTTAACCTAGTACGATTACAACAATGCTGTGCGAGTACACTTTTTTATGACTAGTAATTAGCAGCACCATTTTACGTGAAATAAATACTCGAGCAAATTTCTTCGGATTATTTTCAAACGGAGGGGGACATTAGTAGAATAGAGTAGAAAAATATGTCAATTAAAATTATTTAATATAAGTTTTCAGAAAAATTTACGAAACATTTTTTCTAGTGTAATAATAGTGTTGACACTGGGGAAAAGGTTTTGTTTCACGAATTTTGTGGAAAATTTGAAATTTTATGTTGGTTATTAATAGTTTATTGGGACTCTCCGTTTCGAATATTTTGTTTCTATTACAGCAAAATCATCCTATAAAATACTTGACAATCATTTTATAGTTAGTGTTTAGTATAAAAAACAGTTTTATATGAAATATTTAATTTACGTAAAATGGTAGGAATAGTCAAAATAATAAATCGGAGCTAAAAAGTCTACTAAGAAAATTTTAAAAATCCACATTAGAAATAATTTGTACTTCACTTTACACATCTTCATAAGTAATGTTCATTTCTAATGCTCATCTACTATATCTATAATAAGTTCAAATGTCTTGTAAAGTTGTAAAGAGTTGTAAATTATTGTACATAGAAAAGAATTTAATTTAAAACAAATAATGTTATTAGATTTGTATATACATAATTGAATATATAAATATGGAAAAAAATTGTTGAAATCCGGCTGTTGTTTATAAACGTTGTTGAAATGTGCTCATGAGAATATATGTAGATAAATGACGTTTCTTTCCTGATTTTGCACATACCTTTGTACCGATCTATTTTTATATTATATCAAAAATGCAGTAGTTGATATTCGGCAGAAATGTACAGCTAATTAACCGTATAGTTCCTAATCAAAGCACGCCAGAAGATTATGTTGAAAATTAACGACGAGGAAACTCGAGATATCCGTATTGGGTCGATCAACTTTCGCTAATTTCTAAAAAAATAAAAAATATATGTCGCGTCGTTTAATATTATATTATACCTAGTGGGTGTAGGTCAATTGTTCACCTTTTACTATTTTCCAGTTCGGCATTCTTCTAGAAAGCCATTTCGATATCGGACGATCGATTTTAACACGGAAATTATTCTCGATTATTATATAAGAAATATTTCGATCTAATTAATGTCAATTTTTTCATTATTTTTAGCATATTCTTCTACCGCGTGCGCGTATTAAAAAAACCCGAAAATTTGTATCACTATTTACCGTTCCCCGGTCTCGCACTGCTGAATTTTCGAAAACGAATTCGGTAATTTCTGAATGTTTACCGATGAGGCTGCCGTTTCGTGTTAATGTGATAATAAAAAATCCTCTTTCTATCCGTCTCGCAGAAGAATTCTCTGTTAAGGGGAAAAATTCGACGAACCAGTAATCAGTTTCTCGAATTTTCCCCTGAAAAATATGCATGTTTCGTTGTTAAATAAATAAAAAATATCCGAATACTAAAATCGTAAAAACGAAGTTGATGTGTATTTCATGGTTGTGTCAGCTATTATTATGGATCTTCTTACAGAAACAAGAAAATAAAAAACTGCTGATTGAAATATATCTTGCGTTTTATTTTTTTGCCACTATATTCCACGCCCACGCGTCACATCACTGTCATTCACATCCAATAACAAATACGTAACGTAAGTACATCCTTCCCAGTTTCACTATTATCCCGCAAGAGCGACTGACTGACTGCAAGTCCACGCTAAATTTATTAATTATATAAAATCCGATGTCATCGAACATCTTCGAGCATAAATAACGTCTTCAACAATTAAGAGTGGACGTTTCTTTTGAGTTTAAGAGATTACACGAGCCGTTCTCGTTTCTCCTTATTTGTTTATAAGATAGTGGGCGATTGCTGAAAGGACTCGAGCCGAGCGGGATTTCTTCATTTATTTTCCTTACAATTAAAGAATATCGACAACTGTTAACGGCGTCTAGCCGTTGACCAAAAATGACGGACGCCAAAAAAAGATACACTTCGAATCGATTTGAATATTCATTAAAGATGTCGCATTAAAGCGGATAATGCTGGCTATTTACAATTAGGAACTAAATGCCTGTCGTAAATTATTATAAAGCGAGTGGAAAAATTAAAAACGGAGGAGTTTTCGAGTCGAAAGTTGATGTTTTGTATCTCAAAAGATATAAAATTGAAGTGTTCGACTGATTTTCCAGAAATCTATTTATCTTCCAGAAAAGTTCCCTTTTCAAAATGACACCCTATAAAGTGCTTGTGTGATACTTGACTGTGTTAGCGTGAGTATATTATAGCAACAAATTTTCAAACAAATATAAAAACATACAACTTTCCTAATCAATGCAAAATAGGCATTTCTTTATTAGATTAGAAATCGAGCGATATATCGGAGAAGCGGAGAATGAGGTAACGAAAGTATATCGGTCTTGGCAGATAAATTTTTATTGCACGAAACCGCCATTAATGCGAGACCTGATCTTTAACCCGGTTGGAATTTACGTACCTAATTGACGATCACCAGTAGGTCACAAAACCGACATTCGACATTCAACATTCTCGTTCGAACAATAAAAGTTACAATATATTAGTATTTTCAGTATTTACTGGTTGCGTTTCGACCTGAAAAACTAACGCCGATCGAATAAATTCGTCACGCCGTATATTATATTTCGTAAATGCGTATCATTATAGATGCATTGAGTAATTTTATGCTGCAGTATATCCTATATTTTTGTCGTTAATTAACAGTTTCGAAGGTAATTAAATATGAAACGTGGAAGAGTTTATCGATATTCTTTTTATATTAGCATAAAAACTACATCGGTTCCATTCCATCTAAATATCTCCAAGAAAATTAATTAAACTCGACTGATTTACTTTACTGATATACTTTATATTCCTATTAATAATTAATTTGTTACAGTCGATACTAATTGCTTTTTCCGGTTAGGCGTATTAATAGGAGAACTCCAAACGCCACTGGTCGAAAATAAAATTTTACACGGTCGAAAAGAAAAAGGCTCCACGGCCGATGGCTTGTTTATACGGACCTTTATCGCTGATGAGGAGAGAATAAGGATCACCGGCCGCACATCGCATACCGAAGATAAATACAACGCAGAACAACTGAAGGCACAATAATATATTTATTGTGACAAGTCGAAATGCTCCGTTGCTGAATTATTATAAATGAATTGTCAAATTTTCAGAAATACATTCTTATCCGGACAGCATCTTCGCTGCATTCCGGCTGATTTATTGTAATACGAAATATTCGCAAAATGAGATTATGTTATGCGTGTGTACGAGTACGTACATTTGCGGACAGACTGGACACTGGACGATCAGAAGGGGCACCGTCCCTTCACCCTCGACAGAAAGACGGTTTTTCGCTTGCAGGAATCGAAAATTTAATTCAATCTTTCGATTTAGGAGTAATTTAAATTTTTATGGAATTCTTCAAAAATTTTTCTACAAATTGTTTTCACACGTTTAATAAGGGATGAGAGTATAATGGATGATTTAGGATACTGCGATGAGATTGATGACAAGATATCGGTAAGGTAAATTTCAACTTTTTTATCAATAATTTAATCTTCAATTTATTTCCAATATTTATCGTAATAATTGTAGTTAATATGATGCTATTTTGGTTGTCGTTCTAACATTTTTTTTTCATTAAAAAAACCATCAGAAACTAATTTAAATTTTCAATTGCCTATCAGCTTATGTGCATTTCGAATAAGTTGATTTCGAGTGAGATTAGATTTCAATAATCCTCTAGTGGAATAATAGGTATCATTCGTCAATCGAAAACGCGATAATTATTAAACTGTAGCAGAAGAAAATGGCCCGCGACAATGGCGATTTCTTATTCAAATCGCCTTTTGGAGCGCGCACGGGCAGACCAATGCATAATTTCGTCGTTTCAAAATCGATTTCCATTCAACAGAAATTGATAAATATCCTTTCTATTGTCCTCCAGAAATTCAATAATCAATACAATGAATCCGTTAAGATAGTAGAAGCCAAAAACTCGACTCATCCAGCAAAAAAATCACTTTACATAAAAAAATAGTACTCAACTTTCTATACTATAAGTACTATAAGAATCAAATCCCATTTACACCATCAACCTTGCACAATAAAATCCTCCTAACAAAGCGACTTTTCGAGCACCCTTTCCCTACCGTATTAGTACCGTTTTCGAGTACCATCCACCCCGGGACTCGCTATATCAAACCGGCACGCACCGGCCACGCGCGTCTCCATCATAGCACGCGCCTTTTCAGTACCATACCAAACCTTCTTCGAGCTGTCCATCCAGCACCACGCCGGGCCGAGAGACCGCTTTCCTAAACGGTCGTACCTCCGCGGCCGTCGACGCGGTACCGCTCGCTCCGAATCGGCGGTGCGTGGGACGATCCTCGGACTGTCCCATTACTTAGTCAGGCAGCCGAATTAATAACAAACTTAATGGTACCTCTGTATCTAAAGCTTCGAGTACAAATACACACCTGAAGTTTGTAATGTTGTACTATGTAGTACTTTTAATTAGCAGGTTGAAGACTTCACTCTATCTCGAGTAGGTAGTTTAGTACGCAATGGTTGTAGCGCAGGTCGCGTCTCTCGCTATGCACATGGCTCTGTAGGATTAAAATAGGGTAAGGAGCCGCACTAAAACAACTCGTTTTTGTGAATGGCCTTTGCGATCGTTATCTAGCAGTCTGTGTAGCTCATTTTCTCTGATTTTGTGACGACTTTTGTGTGTATGTGTGTGTGTGTGTGCCTTGTGTCACCTGATCCGAACTTGCACTAGTTCATTCTTTTGTGTAAATGCCGGGCGTGGAATATATATGGCCTCTTTGTTGCTGGTGAATTATCGCTTGAATTTAACAGATGACTTACATCGCTTTGCCCTTTCTAGTTGGAAAAAAAAACTCACTAAATAATTGAATGTATTTTTTCTCCCGCCCGATTATAGAAACTAAAATATGATGTATTAAGCTGGATATAGTTCTTTTATACGAAGGAAAAATTTAATAAACGCTATAGTATTTATTTAAACGGTAAATTAAATTAATTTTCCTAAATAAATAGATGCTTAGAGATTGTTGCCATCGGTTAGATGTTTGCAAATTTAATTAATACGGTACGAATCGCTTCCTGTGCAACGTAAAACGCGCAAGAGAGGCTACAAAACGACAAAACAAACGTTTAGTTTACTGTTACTTTTACTTTTACTTTTTTTTAAGAGCCTTGTTTTACTGGTCGGTTATGTATGCATATGTATGCGCCTATTTCGTCCGTCGTTTATGCTTTGTTCGACATATTGAACCCGGTAAAAATGAATTCTGTGCAATTATTGATGAAAACTCGCGTTTTCTCCTCTTTCACCTGCAATTAGCGATCTTAAATAACTCGCAAAAGATTAGAGAGTTTTACTTATAGATCAATTGAAGTAACTGGAGACGTGAGCTGCGCGAATGGGTCGTCTCCAGCTATTTCTCTCCGACTGTAGAATTATCTAATCGAGTGGAATGAATTGCGCAATTAGGTGTAAACAATGCTCGTATAGAAAGAATACAGATAGACGAATTACGAACTTACCGTGTCTAAATAGCATTACTTTTATCCGAATAAAAAATGCTTTGATCCTCGAATGTTTGACAGCATCTGACAAACAACTCGTCGAGAATGTAGATAGTTTTTCAATGACTGTAATACAATAGCCATCCATTATTCATTAGTCATAAAAGATGTAATTGAAAAATTGATTTTTTTTATTCGTCGGTAATGGACGGATTTAATTCAATCAAATCGGAAGGCGAGCGTGTAACTGTTGACTATCCATTATAATATTACTATTATTATTATTATTATTATTATTGTTTTTTTCGAATTCTTCGTTTTCGTATTAATAGCGATGACCAGGTGTTTGATGATGAAGATTATTTGATTAAATGCCTTGTCAACGTGCGATCATAATGATATATTTAAGAGAACATCTCATGTAGGTAAGGCATAACTGGCAAGGTTCTTTTGTACAGGCACTTTCGAATGGAAATTTCGAGACGTCAGGTAGGCAAGCATTTTCAAATCAATAATTATGAATAATTGTGGTATACGAGATAGAATTCAAATGTTGCTTCGACACAGCAGCGCTAGTTTTTGAGATACATGTACCCCTTATTTGGCACTACTTAGTTCAGGCTCTATTTCGATCCGACGAGTATTCAGATAAGTATCGTCACCAATAAAAAAAATCCGCTAAAATAATCGGCCCGTAACGGGTTATACAAAACGCGACATAATATCCGATTTATTTTAATTTTTATCGTGAAACAAGCATAAATTAAACGACGCTAATCAACAACCCACACTAGATTCGGCATCGAACAGGTGACAGTGGTGGTACTGACCTTATTTGTACTACTTGATGGCGCCACAAACGTCCACGCACTTTTGCCGAAATCGTCTCACCGAAGAAAGTACTCTACAGGTTGTCCCGGAATACGCGATCGAAAGATTTACCTTATTAGGACACCCTGTATGCATGCGATATCCAGTTT